GGTCAGTAGCCATTTTGGCTCATGCCGCTCAGCAGCGAGCGAAAGCCCCTTTGTTCAAGCCGGCATGGTGATGGTTCCCTCGGCCGGAGCGTTTGGTGGCGAGCGTTGCGTTGCTGATGCTGAAGACTACGGGCAGGGTTGCCAGTCGGGCGATCCTGGGAGGAATCGTGCAGCGCGTTCCGCCGCCGCGAGGAGAGCAAAGGAGAGTGCGGATGCTGCAATTCGGCGCTTGAGCCGCCAGCTGGAGGAGGCGCATTTCCTAGTTGTGGCCCTGAACTCGGATATCCCCTCCATGACTTTCGGCGTTTCGATTTGCGAGGACTTGCGTGCCGAGTTGCAGGCCAGGCTCAAACTGATTATTCCTGTGCTGGCGGCTGGCCTTTTGGGATCGAAGTTGTCGGGAGTGGCGAGGGCTCGGCGTAACATAGCCTCGCACGACTGCGAAACGCCTGCCACGACCATCGAGAAGGCTTCGCAGTCCGAGCTGAACGCCATCCAGCGGCGGCCTGGGGGCCATAAGGATATGCTGCATGCGGTTGCGGCCAGGGCGCCAGCAATCGCCCCCTTCCCCCACACCGTCTCCGTGGACGCCGTCACGGAGGAGAGCGGGGAGAGCGAGATGGAGTTGGTGGCAGCCGTTCAGCCTGCGCCCCAGGCTCCTGGTACGCGGTGCACGTGTGGTGCGATCGTTTTCTCGTCTGTCGCCGTATCACCACACGCTGAGCGCCGTGCTGGAGGGCCGCCACGAGGAACGGGGACCCCGCGGCTTCTGGCGAAACCGTTCGTGCTCCAAGCCGAAGCGGAGTGCTTTGTGCCGCTGAGGGGGCTCCACGAGCAGATGCGCATTCGGGCCCCTGCGGGGGGCGGCTGCCCGGCTGCTGGGGCCGCGGCGGCCGTGCGGGACATTCGGGCCCCTGCGGGGGATGACTGCCCTGCTGCTGGGGCCGCGGCGGCCGTGCGGGACGGCGAGATCGTGTACACCCACGAGCGTCTCGTGGAGCTGGAGCAGTGGGCGGCCGCTGCGTGCTCATCCACAGGGCGTCCGCTTGTTCGGCGACAACAGCGGCTCGGCGATGCCAAATTCAGTGGGATCCCTGGCATCGGGCCACCGACCGACGCTTCGTGCAAGCAGCAGTAGCCGTTGTTTCGCGCTGCAGGTATTCGCCCCGTGGCTGTCGCCGAGGTTCCGCATTTCTTTGTATTATGTTGCTGCAATTGAACGTGGGAAGCTGAGTGACTCTGCCAATGTACCTGTTGTCGCAAGCGTATTGTTCTCCGTGGGTGACGTTTACATGTGTGTGTTGATTGATCAATGCTCCGCTGCAGTGTATTGTCTTTGTGCTCGATTGGACCTTATCATCCATTTCTTCGTGCCCTCACTTCCTGTGTTGATGAGACGTGCATTCTGCCGTGGACCGCCTTCTGAGTTTTCAGAGGTAGACCTGTCTTGTGTTGCCATGCGGTGCAGTTCTTTCGTGATACTCATTGAATGCAGCACTACGCATGTTGACCGTGTCTCCATACCTTCTCGTGCATGTTGCCCTCGATGCTTCGAGGAAGGCCAACCGTGCAGTGTTGTGTGTTTGGCCCTCTGTTTCAGAAGTAGACTTGCTACAGCAATGTTCTTCTTTGTGAACTCGTGGAATGCCCCTGGCGCCTCGGGGCGTGTGATGATAATGATGAGGAGGAGGCGGAGGAGGAGGAGGAGGAGGAGGAGGAGGAGGAGGAGGGGAAGGAGTTGGAGGAGGAGCAGGAGGAAGAGGAGCAGGAGGACGCGGGGCACCGCCTCTTCCAAACGAGGACCCAACACCACAGGATGGTAGGACAGAACAGTGTGCGCGGCGCTCAAGCGATATCCACATTTTGGAAACGACCGCCCTGAAACCGTGAAGCTCTTGCACATCTTGAAAACGAATGTGCGCACATTTTGAAAACGACCCGCCCTCAATCCGTGACACTCTTGCAGGTTACTAAA